CCCCAACTCACGAATCCACCACCCACTTTAGATCCTCTAGGAACTCCCCTAAAAGACCCCACCTCCAAGCCAGGAACCCAACCCAGGCCCCTCAAGAACCCCCCTAAAGACCCCACTTCCAACCAATGACCCACCACCCACCACAGATCTCCTCAAAGACCCCAACCCTGGGACCCACCACCTATCTGAAGCCCCCAGGAAACCCCCCAAAGATCCTCCACCACCAACCCAGGGACCCACCATGCACCCTAAGCCTCCTGGGAACTCCCAGAGACCCCATCTCCAACCAAGGGATCCCCCACACCTACCTCAGATCCCCCAAGAAACCTCCAAAGACCCCAACTCCAACCTCAGGACCCACCACCCACCTCAAGTTCCCTGTAGATCTCCCAAGGATCCCACCTCCAAACCAAGGAACCCACCCCCCATTTCAGGTCCACTATAGATCTCCCGAGGGTCCCACCACCCATCTCAGGTCCCCCCAGGAACCCCTGCTAAGGCTCAAACTCACGTACCCACCACCCACATCAAGCCCTCATGGAAACCCTCCAGAGACCCCACCTCCAACCCAAGAACCCCTCACCCAACTCAAGTCCCCTGTAGACCTCCCCCAAAGACCCCAACCTAGGGATCCACCACCCACCCCACTGAACCCTAGCAGATCCCACCACCCATCTCAGGTCCCCCAGGAACCCCTGCTAAGGCTCAGGTACCCACCACCCACATCAAGCCCTCATGGAAACCCCCCGAGACCCCACCTCCAACCCAAGAACCCCTCACCCAACTCAAGTCCCCTGTAGACCTCCCCCAAAGACCCCAACCTAGGGATCCACCACCCACCCCACTGAACCCTAGCAGATCCCACCACCCATTGACCAACTCAACTGAACCTTAGAAGATCTTGGTCACTATTGTCCACCCCATCTCAAAATCCAGCAGATCCTGACCACCATGTCAGCCCCACCCTTCGCCATCAACCACCGCCTGTGCTTGGGGGTCTACGCGGGTACCTTCACCTTGGGGTTACCCCTCAACGTGGCAGCCTTGGTGACCTTGGTGATGGTGGCCCGACGGCGGCGTTTGCTCCCTGCTGACATCCTTCTCCTCAACCTGACCATCGCTGACCTAGCCTTGGTGGTCTCCTTACCCATCCGCATGGCCGAAGCGGTGTGGGAAACCACATGGAAGCTTCCACCATCTTTGTGTCCACTCTTTGTCTTCCTCTTCTTCACCAGCATCTACCTGACCATCCTCTCCCTCACCGCCCTCAGCGTTGACCGTTACCTCAGTGCCGCTTTCCCCATCCAATATGGCCGACGGCGCCGGGCAACTCACGCCACCGTAGCCGCCGTCACCTTCTGGGTGGTCGCTTTGGCTCATTGTAGCGTGGTCTATGTTGGCCAACCCAACGCGGCGGTCAACGGCACGGCCTGCTACACCCGCTTCGCTGCTCCTCAACTGACCCTATTGTTGGCTCTTCGCTTGGAGATCTTCTTGGTGCTCTTCTGCCTCCCTTTGGTCATCACCACCTTCTGCTACGGCCGCTTGGTCTGTATCGTGGTCGCTCTCCCCACCGCGGCACCGAGTAGAAGGCGCCGAGCGGTGGCCTTGGCGTTGACCACAGCTGTGGCTTTTGTCCTCTGCTTTGCCCCCTTCAACGTCTCCCACGTGGTGGGGTATCTACGGCAGGAGAACCCACCGTGGAGAGCCTACGCCGTGCTGCTCACCACGCTCAGCGCTTGCCTTGATCCTCTCATCTTCTGCTTCTCCTCTGCTGCCTTGAGACAGGGTCTCCAGCAGGTTTGGGATGTGGTGGGACTTGGTTGGATCTGTGGTAGATGCCGGATGCTGGTGGAGCAACGTGAGAGTCCATCTGAGGCGGTTGGACGTGGTGGATCTGGAGCATCTTCACATCAACGGGTGGATGATGTTGAACTGGTGACATCTTGGGAGCTTCAGACTTAAAAAAAGCCCAACCTTGGACATGGCGATGGTGGGGGTGGCTGTGGGGTACATGGATGTCTAAGAGACCATCTTGGGTGAGATGAGAAGGTTTTTGGTGGTCAACCTATGAAAGACTTCCTTGGGTTGGGCTGGGTGGGTTGAGTCTGGTTGAGGTGGGTTCATCAGAAGCTTCATGTTGGGTTAACGTGAGATGTTGGGTGGAGATGGACTCAACCAAGACCTTGAGTTGAGTTGAGGTGGGGTCTGCTGAGATGTTGGATGGAGATGGACTCAACCAAGACCTTGAGTTGAGTTGAGGTGGGGTCTGCTGAGATGTTGGGTGGAGATGGAATCAACCAAGACCTTGAGTTGAGGTGGGGTCTGCTGAGACATTGGGTGGAGATGGACTCAACCAAGACCTTGAGTTGAGTTGAGGTGGGGTCTGCTGAGACATTGGGTGGAGATGGACTCAACCAAGACCTTGAGTTGAGTTGTTTCTCCATCCCTGCCCCCTTCTCCTCGTTCTCTTCCTCCACTTTTGAGGTCATGGGTAGCAACCAATGGGTTGATCCTTCATCTGGACCACTTCCAGGAGAACCAAGGGGGTGAAAGTACATGTGGGGGTGGGGACCTGGATCCCTGAGTCCTCTCCAAGCTCTGAAGCCAAGTAGGTGAACACAGAAGGACAAGGGTGGGAATCTGGATCTTCACCAAACTCTACAAGAGCCAACTGGGTGAAAGAAGGTCATGGAGTGTGGGAACCTGGATAACTGGGTTCTTCAGCTCCCAGAATTCCCTGGGGCTGAGCTACTACCCCTTCCCTGGTGCCCCTTGTCCTCTTTTAGGAAGAACTTGAGGTCTCTTGAGAAGGTGATGGGACCGTTGGATGGCTGGAGGCTTTGGGAGGGTGGAGGAGGAGCATCAGGATCTCTGGAGGCTTTGGGAGGGTGGAGGAGGAGGAGCACAAGGATGGCTGGAGGCTTTGGGGTGGTGGAGGAGGAGCACCAGGATCTCTGGAGGCTTTGGGATGGTGATGGAGGAGGAGCACCAGGATCTCTGGAGGCTTTGGGATGGTGATGGAGGAGGAGCACCAGGATCTCTGGAGGCTTTGGGATGGTGATGGAGGAGGAGCACCAGGATCTCTGGAGTGGAGGCTTTGGGATGGGGATGGAGGGTGGTGGAGGAGGAGGAGCACCAGGATCTCTGGAGGCTTTGGGGTGGTGATAGATGGTGGTGGAGGAGGAGGAGCATCAGGATCTCTGGAGGCTTTGGGATGATGCAGGAGGAGGAGCATCCTGGGTCCTCTTGGCAGGATCAACATCCGGCTGCTAAAAATAGCTGGGCATGGAGTGGGGGATGGGTGAGGTCAAGGAGAAGATCAAGAGCTCTTCCCAAACTCCTCCTCCAACTCAAGAAACACAAAGAAGCCTGAGGTATCTGGGTGGTCCATCTCCTGTCCACCATGATGGTGGAGATGCAGGAGATGGTGGGTTGGGGGTGGACACCTTTGGGTCCCTGGTGGACGTGTCTCCACGAACGTGGCTTTGGGTTGTGGTGAGGAAACATCAAACTTCCTGGACGTCGTCAAAACCACTTCCCCCTCCTCCCACCACCACCACCACCTTCTCATCCTGGGGGGGGGGGGCCCCGACACCTCGGGGGGGGGGGGGGGACCTAGACATCTGGGAAGGGACATCTGAGGACACCCCAACATCCTGCAAGAAGAAGAGGGTACGTAGAGGGAATGGGTGGGGGGCACCCAGTTACCTGGGTCTTCTATGGTGGGAGATACTGGGAGGA